CGGAGTATATAAACATTCGGCGTACAGAAACATTTTGCCCGTCGATATAATTCACTCGGCGATGAATCGTCGGCGAACGAGGATGGAATTATAAATGGGGAGTGCGAGTTTTCTTTTTTCCTTCTTTTTTGCATATCCCTCCAATCGAATAATTAATTTTCAACGAAGAAAGGGAGTGAAAAGAGAGAGAACGAGAGAAGAAGAGACAGAACTCGTCCCGTTCGACGAGCAAACGAGAAGCTCGCCTAATTCCAGTTAGCCCAACTTTCACGTTGTTCCGCATATAATTTGCGACTTCATTACTTTCTCGTCCAACTTGGGCGAAATTTGCATTGCGGGCTGACGGTACGGTTCAATTAAACGGGCAGAAATATTGGACCCCACGCACGATGGATCCATCCCCGAAAAGTTGCCGCGAAACTTGCATCCATCGGTGAAATGATGGTTTCGGTTCCATACTCGACGTTTGCTCGATATTTGTCGGCCGGGACGAAAAAGAATTTTTCTAAAAACCGTGTTGGGAGCACGGCCCATAAATCTAACGTCTCTGGATTCCCGCGATATTGCTTCGAGCGTCGCGATCCATCTCCGCACACCGTTCGAAAACGGACATTCGTCACGAACACGTATTGAAAAAAACGACACGTTGTCGTGAAGACGAGGGAAACGCAAACCAGCACCTGTATAATCAATATCGGTCGGATAAAACACACGGGGGGAGAAGGAAAAACAGGGGAATGGTATTTCGTTGGCCAGACTTGGCAACGAAATACTTACCCAGGCAGCGAAAATATTTTTTTCCTTTCTTTCTCTCCCCTCTCCTCCCGTCGATAGACCATAGGATAGACACAGAGGAAGGAAGGAGGATCGTTTCATTACGGAGCCATTGTGCCCATACGGGGCGTTGCGCTTACGGCGCTTTTATTCGGTGGCAACCACCCCCTCCCCCTTTCGACTTGAAATTTCCCTCTAATTGCAGATAAATTAATGCCACCGGATGGGCACGCTCCGCACCGTTGATTGCTACCGTTTTACCGCGTATCCCCCGAATCCGATGATCGGCCGAATGAAACATCGTCACGCGTTCCTGCACAGATTTGCATAATGTATCGCACTTTGATCGGCCCCGATTTTGAATTTTTCATTCAAATATGTATTTCCATATACGTGAAATATACGTGAAATTTGGATTTTATTATTATTAACAAATTGTTACAACGAAATTCAATAGATGAGATACGGGAAATAAAGTTTATTCGTAGCTACGAATAAAATACGGTTTCGTGGGAGGGATAGAGCGAGATGGAAATATTGGATACATTTTGGCACGCGTCATTCTCTTTCGTATAGAAAAAAGGAAAAAAAGAATGGATAAATGAAAAAATAATAATAAATTCGTACCTTCGAAACGAACGGTGTTATCCTGCCTCTTAAAAATTATTTCGAGGAGAAAGTAAATTTAAAGGAAAAAAAAAAAAAATTACCATTTCCTCGAACGATATGGCCGTTCTATTTTTTTCTTTTTTTTTTGTTTCCAGCATTGAGCTGGATATCGTTGAAACTTTGATAAAGGTCCGTATTAAATTGCGGCGCGAATTCTCTGGTCGCGCGGGAAGGAAATTGCGAATCTCGGATCGAGCGTGGTCGTCAGAGGTTTAAGGGTCAACGTGACGTCACAGAACGGAGCGGGGCAAGGCGATGGATACGGGTATGAATAAATCACGAGGACAGTGACACGAAACCGGCGAGATGAGTGGGCCAAGATAGTGGACCGCTCTATTTTTGAACGTTGGTTGAACGTGGCCCCCATCCTCTCTCAGCTGATCTACTTTTTTTTTCTTTCTTTCCTTTTTTTTTTATCCCGCGCCCAATTATTCAGCCTAAATTTCCCGGGCAAATATGTACACGCACACCTTTATCCCTTTAGTCGATTCGAGGGAAGGAAATATTCATGCACGCCATCCCGTTCCGTGAAGAATGAAAAAGTCGTTTTTTCGGGGGAGATATTCAATTTTGGACGGGGCTGTTGTTGCACCGTGAAACACGATTATTCGCCTTAAATATCTGCGGCGCAGAGGGAGATGGTGAATAATCCCGGCAATAATCCCGGTTGAAATTATACAGATCGAGCGCCGATTAATACATTTTACAACGATCGCGTTATATCGCGTTGCCATTTAACGCCACGTGTTTCCATTCTCGTCAAGTTTACTTCCAATATTTCATCGCGCATTCGCGCGAAGATCCAGTTAACAGGAACGAATTGCAATTAGGAGAGAGTCGATGAAACGAATGAAGTGAGAAATTTGACGAAATGAACTCGCGTTCGAAATTCGATCGAGCGAAAATTTCGAAAAAAGAAAAGAGAAGAAGGAAGATATTCCGCAAACTTGCGTGTCCCAAAAGAGGGAACGTAACAATCAGATTTTCTCTTTCCAAGTTTATCCAACAATTCGTATCTCAAATACGAACTCTCCACTGGGTAATCCCCCATTTCGCGCTAAATCACAGCTGGTCGCAGCGTGACCCAGGGTGACCCAGAAATTAAAATATTCCATCTTCGCGACCATCTTTGGCGCACGATCAACCTTCGTTTCGTTTATTAAACGGGCTCGCCACCGTCGCGTTCCCCGTCACAGCCCGAAACACATCGCGGTTTAAACAAGGCGAATCCTCCCCCTCCCTCGTTCCGTCCCATCCACCGCGTCCAAACTCGCCCGATATTTCCGGCTGGATATTCCTTCCGGTCGCGCGTCACGGTGGCCGAGCACGGCTCCTCGGTTGTGCCGCACGCTAAATCATTGCGCCTGTCACGACTCGACCCCCAAAGTTATGGCATTCGACTCCCTCCCCTTCGTTACGATCTACGTGATCTTCATACGCGTGGGAAGAAACAACGGCATCGGTTTGCCCCGAGCCGTGATATCTCGAGGGACGAAAAGGATCGATCCAAGGGAGGCGTACGTGTAGAGACACGTCGGTTCAACGCACTTTTGGAGAAAGTTTTCGAGATGGTACAAGCGTCGTGGAGGAAAGTGTCGTCGAAGCGTGTGTGGATGCGAAGGGATCCTCTTTTCTCTCTCTCTCTCTCTTTCTCTCTCTCTCTCTCTTTCCGTATCTCTGGTTCTCTTAGCCGACACGCGGCAACTCCCACCCGTGAACTTTCTTCGTTCGCGATGCATAATAATTTGCCCCGTATTCATATTCATAAATGGCGCATGCATATTCGCGATAAATTTCCCCGCGGAGTCCCCCGCTCCAAAGTGTAAATTATTTTCGGGCCAAATTGAAAGTTGGAAAGCAGTTGCGTGTAGGCTCGCGTGTCGCGAGTATATAGGGGAGGGGAGAGGGGATTTGTTGATCGAAGGGATTGGTATGGGTCGATTTCAGATGGCCAAATTTTTACTTGGTCCAATTTACGGAGAATCTTATTCGAAGATATCATTCGAAGCCGAATCGAAGGCCGTTTCGATTCCATTTTGACGTAATGCGTCGCGAAATGTTATTACTCCTTCGATTGATGATTTCTTCGCGTGACAGTTTTACTTTCGAATATTTATGCGATTTTATTTAGGTTCTTAGGTTCTTTATTTTACAATTTTTTTTTACAATCTTCTCTTTTGCTTTATTCAAAACGAATGTGTCGATTATCCTGAATGGATCGATATTCCTTCCTACATACATTTCCATGTATAATAGAATTGAGCTTAATTCCGATGCGATATTGAAAAAAATTAGAAAAAAAGAGGATTGATTGTTTCTTAAAAATCAAAATTCAATGGATTCGAAGTTCATATCTAAGAAGTTCAAACTTGATTGAACTTGGTTGAAACCAAGCTCGGAATCAATCTCGACAAACGGAAACAGTTGATTTCTCATTGTGCTTTTCCTCCTCCTTTCAAAGCCCGCGCTCGCTACCTCTTTTTCGTCTTCCCACGTCTTCGTCTTTTTACCAAGACGGAAAACGATCCAAGTATCTCGTCTCGAATTCTACCGAACCAACTTTTCCCCGGGTATATAGGCGATCGCTGATCTCTAAGATCCAATAAATCGCCGGTGTTCTTCCACCTTGGGGCGCATCCCTTCCTCTTCTTTCCTCTTCGTTCTTATTTGCACCCTGCCTCTCTCTCCTCTCTCTCTCTCTCCCTCCGATAGCTCGATTACATCTGTATCTTCTTTCCTATTTTTCCGTCTTCGTTTCGTCCCCAAAACCTCGTGGACGAACGAGTTGGCATTTGCGTCTTTGTTCGCAAGCCGAGGGCCGAGAAAATGAGGCGTAGTGTTCCTCGGTTGAAAAAGGGAGGAGTCTGGAGTGTAATATCGAGTGTGAATGTATATGTGTGTGTGTGTGTGTGATGCAACAGAGACGAGAGATGCGTGGGCAAAACGAGGAAAAGGGATAACTTAAGGACGATAGAGAGAGAGAGAGAGAGATGATCCTTCGCCTCGATAGAGGTGAGGGAAGGGTGGCGTTTGGATGGAGAAGAGAGACTTCGGTGGAGGAAAAATATAGGGAGAGAGAGAGAGGAAAATCGTGGAGAAAATTGTGGAGGAAGGGGGTAATAAACGTGAAGAAGGAGATGGAAGACAGGAGGGTAGAGAGAGTTAGAGGGTTTGGGATAAACTCTCTGTAGCCAAAAGAAAAACCTGTAAGGGAGATTGGTTTTCTGGGAGGGAAGAAAATGGTACGGAGAATCCGAAATCAAATATAGTTGGACCGTTGAGAAAAAAGACAAAGGGAGGGTCGATAATCACGATTCAGAGGGAGAAAAAACGTCCGCCATCGACAAAAAAAATGTCGCGATAAATTAAGAAAAAAGCGAAGAAGGTCGATGGAAAAGGGGGAAAAAGCGAGAAGGAAGAAACGGTCGTCGACGTCGTCGGTGAGAAGACAAGACGAAGAATGAAGACGAAAGGGTGAAGAAAAAAGGGAGAGAGGGAGAGGGCGATTGGACGCGGGTATCGCGGGTGAAAAAGCGGGCGAGATCGGGGAGAGAAGAAGAGGAAGGGAAGAGGTTGGAGTGGCGCGACAAGGAGGGATTGAGAACGGGGCTGGAAGTGGGGAAGCCGTGGAGAATCAGCGCACAGCTACACCCCACCGTGACGGCCGCGGCAGTCAGTCGTCCGCGCACCTTCGTTCGGCGAGGGTTTCGTGTTCGGTGGGGAATCGCCTCCGCCAGGGAGTGTAGAGAGGATCATCGCAGATTGTCATTCATCGATCAGCTGATTCTCAGACCGGTGCTTTGACCTGCAATCGTCAACAATCGTCGTTGGACGGATCCTTCAACAACCCCTTCGTTACGCGGATCTCTGCGGAACGGTGAGTCGAGCGATCGAGTTCTTCGTTTTTTCTTTCTTCATATTTTCTGCGCCACTCTTTTCGAACGCTTGGGATGGCGAATGGAATAGAATAACGCGAAACTTTGGAATATTGGGAAGGGAACTAGGGAAGGGATGTGGGATGAACGGTGATCAGGGATGAATTCGAATGGGATTGGAACATGGGGTTGCTGTTTTGGCAACGTCGTGTTCCAACGTTAGAGTCGAAGGGAGTCGTAAAAGAGGGAATCGTGTAAGATCCGTGTGTAGTATACAGAGTATACAGGAAGGAAGGAAGGAAGGAAGGAAAGAAGGTTGAAGGAAAGTTGGTGGCAACATGTTTGTCTTGCTTGGACACAGGGAGCACACGGGCTCCACTGTGTTTTCTTTCCTTTCCCTCGTTTTTCATCGGCGTGCGAGAGAAGCAATCGATACCCGATTCTCGAGATGTAACCAAGGACGCGCCGTGGCTTATCCGCAGCGACACGTTACCGATGAATGAATCGCGTAGATAACCATAGATTTCCCTCTTTTATTTTTCTTTTATTTTATTATTCTTTTTTTTTACGTATTCCATTATTTCCCGTTGTATAAATAACTTGTCTATAAATTATCTATAAGTGTAATTTTCAAAATTAATATCTCCTCGAGATACACGTATATATTTTCCTTTTCAAACAACATTCTCTTTTTTTTATCACCGTCTTATCATTCATACGTAAAACGTAAAAAGAATTTTTATACTTCCATACTATATATATATATATATATATATATATATATATATATAT